ACATATACGCTTAGTATGTACATCATTTAATATGTTTGTAAGTTGCGTCAGTGACACTTGTCTGCTGCCATAGACAATCTACCATGCTCTACTGGTCTCGATCATTAAGAACTCCTGAATCCACGACTTATTCCAAGTATACAGGTGATACCGTAGAAATAAGGCAACATTTTCTGGTAGGTTTATTATTGATAGGATAATTTGCTTAGATTATATTTGCATGACACAGTTTTGACTGTGACTGATCTAATGGAAAATACGGGTTATTGTTACTAGTGTGTTTTCGAGTCAATTCTATTCGTCACTACTAAACAGGAAATGATTTCTTTGTTATTTATTTAGTCTGTTTTCATCTAGTCCAAATTAAACGGGCATCGAGTAATCATTACATTTAGTATAGCAGTATGCCAACCATTAAACTATTGAAAGTTCTGGCTGACACGGTTGACTATTCATTTCCATAAATATTGATAACATTTTCATTTTGGCTTGCTTTTTGTTTTAATCACGTTTTGTTTTTAGAATTCGTACATAATTGACTTATATTTTGTCAAAAACTGATTCAGTTTGGCAGCTTTCAGCCAGTCATAACATCCTGTCTTCCGTTCAACTCTGTGTCTTCGTTGGTGACAACGTAAACAAAAAAAAAATAATGGATAGGAATGGCTATTATTTTGAACATAATTGTTGCTTATCTATTGTCTTCTAATTTAAGTGCTTCTTAGATCTGGAACAGTTTCTCACGATTTCTTTGTCTCTTTTTTTCTTTAACTTTCCCACGTTTCCTCTCATTTCTCGCTCTGTATCATATATATATATATATATATATATATATATATATATATATATATATATATATATATATATATACAGAAAAAATCCAATACATTGAGCTCTCTGATATTACTGGGACCCACCTGGATTACATAACAACGGATCTATTACCTGCACTATATATATATATATGAAGAAATTTTGAAAAAACAAACAAAAATCCTTAAATGTAGTTAAATGAAAGAAACCTTTTTCAAGACAACATTCATCAAAATACAATTCAGTTCAACATGACAAATACGATGGACACAAAAAAAACACAAGTCTTATTCAGAATTTTGGAACCTAATAGAATTCTTTTCATTTTCTTTTTCTTTTTCATTTCAAAATAATCACAAACTTTTAGGAATACGTTATGAAAGCGTCGCCCATGTGACGACAGCGTGACCATGTTAGACGGAAGGCTGATCATTTTAAAAATTTTCAGTTATCTGTTCTGAATAAGACTTGTGTTTTTTTTTTGTGTCCATCGTATTTGTCATGTTGAACTGAATTGTATTTTGATGAATGTTGTCTTGAAAAAGGTTTAATAAACCGAAACGTCAGACGTCGACATTTCTTTCATTTAACTACATTTAAGGATTTTTGTTTGTTTTTTCAAAATTTCTTCATTCTGTCGGATTTATATCCATTTACACTTGCTTATATATATATATATATATATATATATATATATATATATTAAAGACATTTTTATGTTTAACGTTCTTTTTTTTTATAGATACAGGTATTTAAGTAAATGCTCTGTTTATAATAAACAGTATTAAATAACATTTACCGGCCTGAATGTCCGAGAAATTTTCATAGAAAATATTCGTCCTTTGACAGGATTCGAACCTGCATCCTATACGGAACCGTCATTTACAAAGGAGCGTTCGGTAGGCAAGGTCGAATTTACTGCCTACCTCACGCTCCTTTGTGGCCGAGAGGTTAGGCACGTCAGCGTAAATATATATGGAAAATGCCTGGGCGTAGATTAATATCTGGATAATATTCAATGTCGGCACTCTCGAGGATTTTCCTGCTTATTGAATCATTTTCTTTTTTTATGAGTGTAGCATTTTTAAAATCAAAATTGTGGTTGAATTTATTTCTATGTATGACTTAAAAAATTTCAGAAATTCACTAGTCATACACACATACACACACACATACGGGTGCAAATAGCAAGGCAAAAACGATGTGTATCTATCCATTATTGATTTGTTTTCCTTTCATTGCAACGGCTGACAGTTGCAACCCTGACGAAACTCCTCTCTAACGTGGGAAACGTCTTATGGATTGAGTTGTATCTTTTCTAATTGATCTGTGAGTTCGAAGTTGAAATGATGTTCCCTGTTCCTGTTGCGACCTCCTGAGCCAGTATTTCTCTCTACTGTTCCCTCTCTTTTAAATTTATTCGCCGTTCTCTTGATAGTTCTTGAATGGATTTGAAGATGGAAGTCAGTTTGAAATTCAATACCATTACTGAATGATATTTTCCCTCTCAACATTGCTCAGTTGCTGACACAAAATGATTTTAACCTGATCTCTTTCTAGCTGAATAACCGAATAACGGATTTTTCAGTAATTCTAACGACAATGGTGTCAAGATGGCTAAACGTCTTATCTGAAAACCTGGAAAGAGAAAATCAATTAATTTAATGTTTTTGTTTTAGATATAAAACATCAGTTTCATGGGTCGAGTCTATCACCACGCATTAATTTTGCGTTCAATCGTGACAGGTTTTGATACAGGCCGTTTATAAGCTTAGAAATGCTAAGAAACTCAAGTCACTGCTTTATGCTTCCATCTTTATATAAGCCTTCTCAATACAACGAAAATAAGTTATTGCTCATTCATAAATCCGAATCAGATTTGAATGGACTGCATTTTCAAGTCAAACATACATAGCATTTGAAAAATTCGTAGAAACTCGAGAAAAAAAAAAGCTCGTAACGAATTGAAGATAGAGTATAGCTGTCTAGTAGCTGCTGTATTTAAGAAAATTTGACCAGTGTCAGTACTTAGTTTTACCTGAGATAAAAGTTAATCTCTATCTATAAAAGGCAGGATGTGTGTGTGTGGGTGTGTGTGTGTGTGTGTGTGTGTGTGTGTGTGTGTGTGTGTGTAACGAATGCATGGCCACAATTTTCGACGTATTTGCACCAAAATTTACATGCACATGATAGTGGAAATAATCGATTTTTTCATGCATCTACGGCAGTTTTCATGTAGTTTGTGTTCATTTTCTACTGGCCGGAGTGAGAGCCTATAGCTGGCTGCCACGAATAAGCAGAAAGATTCTATTGGCCAGCGTGAGAGCCAACAGCTGACTGACACGAATGTTAACTAGCATGCAATCGATAGCTGCATTCGTCACAAGTGGGAAAAATTTAAATCTGCATGGCACTTCACTCCAATTGGCTCATTCGCTTGCTTAAACTCAACGTTGATTTCTGATTCCGCAGAACTGTGTTTGGTGTGAAAAAGTATTTGTTGTTAACATTCTTTTTTCATTCGGTTTTTTCAGTTACGGGTCCTTTTTTAAAGCTGATCGTTTTGTGTTCATTTTGTTTAGTTCTTTTTTCGTAACAGATTTAATGTTTAGTATAGAGCTTAGAAAAAAATTCGCAGTGTGAGATAGGCAAGAAGTAAGGCATGTAGCAACATCAGTATGGCAAAGGGTACTCCTTTAAAGGCAAGGAAGGGCAAAAATATTTTAAGTCAAGTGATAGCGATTGCTGTATGAGTCGTACGGTTTTTGAATCAAGCAAGGGCAACGCCGGGCCATGCTGCTAATGTTAAATAGTGCGGAGCCTGTGTGTGGATTGTTCAGAATACTTTGTGGGCATTGTATTCTGACAGTGATAGATTACTTATGTTTAGGATATGAATACAAAACGAAGTGAAATTAACAGAGAACCACAGCAATTTTTAAGCGCCAACACGCTTCCCCCACCGTGGCTTGAGTGACAGGCTAAAAGTACCCGCAGAGGGTCGCTCAGCCAACTAGCAGTGTACGCCGACTTTAGGTTTTCCTCCCGCTTCCTTTTAGTATCCATGCTCACATGTCTGTACATCTCCTCTATTAAGACGCGTAAGAAAACATTAATCGTCATTCGTTTATAGTAGGCATGGGCAACGTTTACCGGCCGTGGGTTGCATCAGATATGGTTCATCATAAGGCACGCCGTACTACTAAAAAGTTTCAAGGTATTTTTTTTCGTTGAAGCTGTCTCAGACATTTTCATCTGAGAAGAAGATAGACGTAAGCATCTGCCATAGAATTGGTGAAAAGTTTGTTTTTAGAGAAAGAAATTCTCAATAATTAAAAACATGAAGTCCCGGTATAATTTTATGTTGAGATGTACTGTTGAGATGTTGTGAGTTTCCCGCGTGTCGGTGTATGAATCAAGACA